AGTAAATTTATTTCTTTTTACATAATATAATACATATGTAATAATTCAAATTTATTTTCTGATTAATAAATATTTGAAAAGCATAACACATAAAATTTTATACTTACACGTATTTTATACAACTTAAAATGATACTTACTTCACTATAAAAGTAATTAAATAAAACACACAAAAAAATGTTTGTACTATCGAAGAGAGAAAAATGTACTATGGGTCCCAACGTGTGGTTGATCACACATCAACCACACGTCAACCACAATACATTTGACGCAATAAAAAATTTCAATTGCAATTAAAAAATATTGAAGCATTAAACACTATTAAAAATGCTTCTGTCTGGTGGAAGGTTACGAAAACTTTGCAAAACAACACCTTTGAAGTAGCTACTTCTCTACAATATGAAGACTTTCGTACTCACTATATATTACTACTTAAGAGGTAGCAACCTTCCAGCTACCTCTTTGTGTCTTTTGTTTTTGTAAATTCCTTCCTCGACTCTCCTTTTAAACTTTGTAAACTTCAGTTTGTGCTTTCAAACACCAAATGTACTAAAGCACCAGATAACGAACGCATTCCCTATGAATTTTACAAAAATGCTTCTTCTGTTTTTTCGAGTTATTTATATCATATAATTTTATATTTCTTTACAATGTCATATCGTTTTCATTTTCAAGATTGGCAATTCATCCAATGTTTAAAAAAGGAGATCCTAATATAGTTACAAAGTTTGTACAAACTATCGTGGACTATCATTATCATTTGACTTTCGCGTATTAATAGTTGCGTTGAGTTCAATAATATCTTAAACGAATACCAAGCCAGATTTCGCAAATCCTACTCAACTTTCAATAACATTTTCAATTTGTCATCTATAATAGACTTACATTTTAGTTACAAATGTTTCAAATTAGCTACATTAGGTTTGTCTCACAAGCTTTTGAGTACATCAATGAAATTATACTCCAACGCCACCAGTCGTGTAGAGGATGATAATTTTATGTCTTCTTCCTTTAAAGTTACTTAAGATGTATAATAAGGATGCATGGTCAGTCCACTTTTGTTTTTCCTTATATAGTTAAATGAACTTAATGAGTAATGCATTAACGGGTTGATTACCTATCAATACAACTTATATAAAGTTATTTTATATGCGGATGATGTGGTTCTGCTTGCGGACTCACTTAAAGTATTGCAAAATATGATAGAAGATAAGTTTAGCTATTGTTTGAAATGGGGTCTTATCGCAAATCTAGATAAATCTAAGATTATGATTTTTAGAAAAGGTCCTAGATTAAGCAATACGCAGGTAGATATAGTCAATAAATATAAATACCTTGGGATATTAATTACGTATAACATCTCTTTCAACAAACATTTGACTACAAAGCTTTCATTAGGTAAAAGCGCAATAAACTCCACGTGGGTAAAGTACTTGTGTTATCCTAAATTAAGTTCCGCAAATAAACTAAGAAGTTACTATACAGAAGCACGTTCAATCGTACTCTACGATTTTATTTCTATCGACTAGTACCCCAAACTGTATACTCTACTTAGAAACGGGTTTGTGACGCAGTTTGTAGACCCAGTGCTGCAAACACATTTCGCTTATGTAAAAAAAATTTTTAATCTTCCACTCACAAAAATTCCTCAAATACTAGCTGAATTTAAGACTGACATAAACATATATTGGGCCAAAGTTTGTGAACATATGTGTTTAGAATTGGGTCTTTCAATAACCAGTATACAAAGTATGGATTTTAAATTGTTACACAATATATAACTTTAGACAATCTAAGTAAATACGAGCCCTGTCTTGCGAATGAAAGGTCGGGATCTCATGACGTGTACCCACAGCTGCAATATAACATTAAGTATAGTTTTTATTACGAAAACACTCAGCACAAATTGAAAATACTTTTTAATGCAAATGCTGTCTTTTTAAATTAATATATTGTATAGTTTTATATGTATATACTTTTTATATGTATATATGTATATCGTGCAACATTGTACCATTTCGTAAAATGTAGAATTAATTAAATATTAGTAGTATCCCCTAACACAGAATATAACAGCCAACAAATGCCTTTAACAGAGTTCTTTATTAAATTTTACAGTGGTGGTGAATTTTTAACATTGTACAGCTTTTCACCTCAATATGTTATTGGAACGGTGTTAGTTAACATACATTTTTTTCGCAAAAAAATAACTTTTTTAAATATATATACAGGCTGTAATATATATTCTCATGCTGTTCCCAAACACACAACTCCCTTATTCTGAATTGCTTGGGAGACAGCAGTTTTGGGAACAACAACAGTTTCAAATTTGTTTTCTTAAATTTTGGCAACCATGCTAATTTTTAATGACGAAAAGTGCGAAAATGAGCAAAACAAAGAAAAGAATTGCGTATCATATGTTGATTTAAATGTAAATCGCATTATTTGTTTGCTGCACAAATTATCGGAAATAAATATAAATTATTTTATGAGTAAATAATAAATAATAAAAAACTTTTATTTTAATGAGTAAAATAAATATATAAAAAGAATTGTGCATGAGCAAAATAAACAAGGATTGTGCAGTTGTTAATGATTATTTAAAAAAATATTTTAAAAAAGTTTTCAAAAATGCATTCAATTGCATTTCGAGTTTTAGCGGAGGATTTGGCTCAAGAACAGGAGCAAGAAATTTTGCAACAGAGGATCAATCGCAGAAACTTACATGTTAAATTTAACTCTTTTCTAAACTAACTAAACTATTTTTAATACTTTTTTAACTTGTCTCCCAAACAATTTGCTTGCAAAAGAATTTGTGCAAAATTGGGAAACAAAACTCCCATTCTCCAGCGATTCAGAATAGCAAAATTGAGAACAGGGAACAAAACTCCCATTCCCATATTATTCAGAATAGAAAAATTGGGAATAGGGAATAAACTCCCACTCCCATGCGATTCAGAATAGGGGTGATTGCTTTTTCTCTGAATATCAATTTTATGATTTGGATTCAAAACAACAATAATTTTACTCATACCCTGTCCGAGGTACTCTACGTAACATGGCCTTTAAATTAAACTAACTTTTTTAATGATAAAATGCACTTAGTCCAAAAATTGTGACTTACTCCTGCGCCACATACTTCTTACGTTCGTTTTTTTGATTTTTTTTTTGGAATTTAGTTTTTAACTATTTTTATGTATATGAACAAATTTTATAATTTGTATTTAATATTTAGTTTGCTATAATATATAATATAATATTTAGTTTTCTAGAATTTTTTGAGAAATTGTTTGAAATATATGTAAATTTGTCATTTTTATCAGTCTATAGTGTAATGTATATGCGTTAGTTACATTGGCAATGCATACAATTAATATAATAATAAGTGGTTCTATATTTAAATGCGCAGTGTGTATAAAAATACACTAATTGTTTCCAAGCGCATTGCGTTGTTTACAAACAAATGCATAATTCCACACAAGGAATTTGATACCACACATATCGGCGGCACTTTGCCTTCGAGTTAACCATATTCTTGCCAGGCATTGACCACATATAAAACAACATCAACAGTAAGCGTACTCGATACAAGTGGAATCGAAGACGCTTACTTAGCAATAAATTATTAAATATTAAAGTACTTACGCTGCGTCGTTTTGTACATAAATAAAAATACATATTAATATAAATAATACTAAAATACATATATAATTGTTAAAATATTTAGTAAATAAGAAAGTACATACGCTGCGTCGTTATGTACCTAGGTTAAGTCGAAAGTAAAGATTCAAATAAAAATCAGAACAAGAAATGCACTCATAAGAAGCGCATCAAGTTCTCAACTAAAGCACCTTTTTATTTTGGAAGTAAAAATCTATATTAAAAGAAGGAATGCCAATAATATCCTTCAAAATTTATCGTTTTTACAATAGGCATTTTCTTTTGTAAGCATATCACAAAAGAACAACTGCTTATTTTAAAAATAACATAAGAAATAACACTGCTGGCTTATTTATTCCATCCTTTTTGAAACCGCTTAACTAATAACCAGCTCAAATCACATGGTTGCCAACACTAAAAATTCGTCTATTGTAAACGATTTTTGGAAGTATATACGAAATGTTCAGTTAACAGTCAACGAATGATTTCGTTAATTATTCGTATTTCGTGTCGTCATTGAACGTAACAAATACGTTATGTTTTATATATATTATTTTACTGTTAAAAGACACGAAAAATTGTTTTGTGTTCACAATCATGTAAAAAAAAATATTCCCATCCATAATAGCAAAGAATTATTATTCATTTTCGAAATTACAACATTAAATATTATTACATGTTTTGCATATAAAAGCCGAACAAAATATCCAATTTGTCCAGAGTTGCCCACGAAAGTAGTGCTTATTTTGTTTGTTCTTTTGCAATATGATTACAAAAGAGAAGGGCTTAGTTGTCAGATATATGACAACTTTCAAGAATTTTTTATTTCAAAATTATATATAATCGACATATCTTTTAATAACAACAAATTATTAAAAAATTGCTTCCCACTTTTAATCGCCATTTCAACTTAATTTTAAAATATTTCCCACTGAGGTACCAGAAAATAACATAACCAATCTAAATAGAGTAAAGTGTTTACTATAGAATAATTGAATTAATTAAGTATGGTTTTATAATTGTTATATAGTTTTTTATTTAATTGTTATTTTATTATTGCGATTTTATGTTATTCTATTTTGTGTATAGATCCTTATTTGGGAATTTATTGCAAAAAAGTTTTGGAAAACAGAGCTATACGTAGCTTGCTTTAGGGACCTTTCCTTTTAAAATGGACCTTTTTTACATCATGTATTTCAGGAAAGATTGGTAGGTTTATTTTGTTTTTTGGAACATAACATAGAAAATTTACTAGATGTTTCCAGATAACACCCTGTATAACATACTAAAACAGTAGTTTAATAAACTTATGACATAATGCGCATGAGTATTTTTCATAGCACATTGACCCTTTATTGTTTTCGTAGTGCATACTTATTATGTTAAATTAGAAAATTTAATATTTTGTAAATTGGAAAAGTTTACAAAAAAATAATTTAGTTATAAAAAATAATGAATAGCTATATGTATTCCTTAAAAATGAGTTTTGTTTGACATAATTTAACAGTTTTTTGATATGGTGTTTTCTCGTTTAATTGAATTTGAAGACCTCGTCTGCGGCCAAAGGTTCCTTGGCGATAATGATTTATGATTGAAGAAGTTTAATATTAAATGCGTGTATGAAATATTATTATATTAATGTTGATAGATAAAGTGCAAAAGGCAATAATTAAACTCTAGGAATTTTATTCACTTGACGAACAGTCAGTAAAAAATTTTAAAATCGAAAAAGTAGAATGTGAAAAGTTGGCAAAACAAAAAGAGGTACTGGAAAGGGTCTGTAGTAGCTCAGATTATAAATAACAAGAATATCTTAAATTTCGTAAATGTTAATAGTTATATATGATTATATCTATAATAAATATATATATTTATAATTAACCGTTATATATTTTTTAATTATTTCACCTACATATATATATATGTATATCTAAATTGTGAAAAAATATACTGCTTACATGATAAAATTCTTCAATACATACAATTTTTCCAAGTATTTTGAACATAATCCGGCTTCATGCAAAGTAATATTTAATGCACCTGAAGGTGAAGAAATGTGAGCTAACCGGAGTGTTAAAATGTTTTCCGTAAAGGAAATTTTCAAAAATGAATATTAACGTAAAATTTCCTATACTAAAATTTTAATATTAATATTGTTAATTATACACATAAAGTTAAATTATTGCTTTATTTGCGAGAAGGTTAGGAATACATATATACAAATTTTTAATCCTTTTGAATTTTGAATAGAATAGTGTTAATTTTAAAAAAATGAGTGGGAACGATAAGGAAAGTAAAAGAATTGAGTTTATAGCTGCAGAAAACAGAAGTTCAAGCCAAATGGAAAAAGATGAAGATCAAATTCTCGTTGTTGCAAACTCTGGTAATAGATTGCATTAGAATCTATAATAATATTGATCACTATAATTCTATTTATTTTAGACACCATTAGCGAAAACAAGTGTGGTTTTCCGACAACATCAGTAAAAAAATCTCCGGCAGATATGCCAGACAATATTTACAACGTCGAAAATAATGAATCTCTAGAAACTGCCTTACCACAAGAGTTGCCTGATGCTCGTTCTAAATACTTAAAGCTACGTAAGGAACCAATTCGTGTTGGATTTTATGATATTGAAAAAACAATTGGAAAAGGAAATTTTGCTGTCGTAAAGTTGGCAAGACACCGAATTACTAAAAATGAGGTAATATGTTTAATTCAATAAAATATAATAGCGGACTTAATGCATTTATATTCCTAAAATCTGTAATCTGATTTCGTACTCAAAACATTTTTTTTGTTTCGCACTTTATTCATGTTGGGTCTAGTGACATATACATTAAGACCGAAAAGTTTTCGGAAATTCTCATTTAAAATTCGCGCGCTGTATATTTTTCGATATTTTAAGTTTATGTAGTTTGGCAGCACTAACCACAATTACTATGCCAAAAATGAGCGCGATCTGTCAGACAGTTCGTTTACGGCAGCTGTTGAAACCAGTTCACCTCAGTAGTGCGTTGCGAAAAAAACAATGGAAAAAAATATTGAACAAAGAGTTTGCATCAAATTTTGTGTTTCGAACGAAATTTTGTGTGCAGAATCGTTGCGAATGCTACAAAAGGCTTATGGGGAATCAGTTTTATCGAAAACTCAAGTTTATGAGTGGTACAAAGCCTTTCAGGACGGTCGTAGGACCGTCGAAGACATTTCGCAACGCACTACTGAGTTGAACTGGTTTCAACAGCTGCCGTAAACGAACTGTCTGACAGATCGCGCTCATTTTTGGCATAGTAATTAAGGACAGTGCTGCCAAACTACATAAACTTAAAATATCGAAAAATATACAGCGCGCGAATTTTAAATGAGAATTTCCGAAAACTTTTCAGTCTTAATGTACATTCATATGTATAGGTGTACGACACATAAACAGATTAATATTACTATATGAGGTCTATATGCCTATTTATAGGCTTATGAAAGCGAGGCAAATAGTTATTTACAGTTATTCTTGGGAATTGCTGTTCAATTAAGAACAGTTTAGTTTCCGAGTCGATTTTTGAAATTTTGATGAAAATACAACATACAATTTTAAGACGTAAAATATTGTCGAATTTTAAACGCCATTCATTTTTTAGTCAAAACATTAAATTTGTTATGTGCTTCTTAAAAAGCAGTGCCGCCTCACCAACAAAGGTTGGTGCATTAAGTATGATATCCTAAAGACGCATCCTTGTGGAGTTTTCGAACATTTCTGATAAAATTGGTCAGCAGTCTGCCAATAAATCGAAACGATTAACTTATAATTTTTGTAAGTCTTTCTATTCTACTGGATTATAGATGTACAATTCTGGTAGAGGAATATTCAATCTGAATTTTGAATTTTTTTAACTGCTGGTCTTCTAAAACTTTTTTGTGCATCCCCAAAGTGAATAGTCCGTACTTTCTGCACTTTTTAGGCTTTGTAGACATCATAGTTTTAATTTAGTCTGTAGTTTTGAGTAGTTTTTTGTATCATTGCATTTATTTAAGTCTATGATACTAATAATGGAATAAATAAGGTCAGTCTTGACAAGAAAAGCAAATCATGTGCAAAATTATTTTTACGCTTACCACTTTACGTTTATTTTTGTCTCCGCTGTACTTTGCAAAGAAGCGGTTTTTATTCTTGACAGATTTTGTTAAAATTGTGACCTTTACTTTTAAGAATTCCAAAGAACTACTTCCAATCTTAATATACAGAAGAACATTTAAAAGTCAAATTTGCACCGTTTTGAATAAAAGTATAAGGCTTAGAAACCTTTCGAAGTGCAAAGAAGTTAATCAAATCAGACTGTTTATCTGTATGGACTTACATGTAACATAGTATGGCTCAATGTTATCTTCAGTTTGTAGAATTTATTTAGTTTTGAGTCGCCGCATATATCTTTAGTATGACCCTATATTATATGATCCCACAATGTAGCCGCCTACTATATATTTATACTTTGTTTTTTTTAGCCTGACTTGATGCCTAGCTGGGCTTTGCACATCAATTAGTGAGATCAATGTTACGTTATGATTTCTTGTAACACTCTTTTGCTAAACCATAGATATAATTTTTACAATGAAAAATAACCTTTTCCATAGCATACACCTAGATTCTAAATTAAAACTGAAGAAAATGAAAAATAAAAAAGTTTTCCTAAGAAACACATGTTCCTAAATCGATGGTTTATATCGAGCTATATCTAAATCTAATTCGATCAACACCATTTTTATTACATTGACTGCAATTTTTAAATTGTGCTTAAGTTCCAAATTAGAACTTATATATTTACATTCGAAACTAGAAAAACGTGTATCTAAATTGACAGCTATATCCATATTTGAAGCAATATGCATTTTGTACATTCATTTATGTTCATTTAAATGAATATAAGATATTTGATAATTTTTATTATAAACGGATAAAACTTATATCTGATTGTTTAGTTTATCTAATATACCCTTTATGCTAGGTTAATTGATAAAAAGCATATTGTTATTATTTTCTGCATTTATCTGCCAATTATGGGTTATGGGTTTGAGCGAATGTTTACTAAGAACGAGAAGAACTTTTATTGAAACTATAAATAAACTCTATTTAATTTATACCAACTGATATTGGTATTTAATTAATGATATTTAATTTACTTTTAACTGATGATTATTATTATAATGGAAAACATCTTTTTTTATCAAGTTAGCAACCGGCCTACGCTTAATAGGCACTCTTGTAAATAAATATTTTGATGTTCTGTTTGCTGTACGTCGCAAACCAGATCCGAAATATATATATTGACCAATCGACTTTGAAAAGGGACATAGAGATACTGAGATTCCAAAATTTGCTCAACAAAAACAAAACTGAGTATTTGCATCTATAAGTGGCAAGATAAGATCCAAAAAAATGCTTTTTTTAATTAAATGCAAGTTAAAATAAATAAAAATAAAAACTAATATATTTGTTATAACTTGTGTCCACAAAAGTCCAAATATAATTTTCGTAATTTTTGCCGGCGCCTTAGTAACAGTTGTGGTGAACCACACGCTGGGTCCCAGAACAATATAATAATGAAACAATGCAATATAAATGTTTGTCGTTAGGTAATGAAATGAAATGAAATGAGAGTAATCTCTCTAATAAATATCATACTCTACTAATTAACTTAAACTTGTGTTTTTTACTATGCATAATATTAATAAGTCTATTTTGATATTTAATTGCTGGTTAAGTGGCCCTTAGACAGCAACGCGCGTTGACAACGCACAAAGTCTTCTCTCGCCATTACACACCAAGTTTTGCAACAATTTTTTAAATACGCCTCCAGCAAACAAAGCAAAATTTGTTCACTCATCAGTATTAAAGCAATCGCTAATATTTCCACTGTGATATTCATTTTAGAAGTAATTAAAAAAAATTAATTAATCAGGTGTCCTTCACGTTACTCATACGCACCATAGTACCATAAAATCAATTTTCGAAGGAAAACGATACAAAAACTTTAACTTTTTATTTCTGAATTGAGTTTACCATTAAATTCTACATAAAAATGAAACTTTTAAGGACGTTAGTATTCTCAGAAGTATTTTTATTGAATAAATAAATCACAAATTTAAAATTTTTAATATTCCTGCGGATAACTCTAAGAATAGCGATAAAGAAGATGACTCGCATTAATTTTAAAAAATCTGCAGAAAAAGTTTAATGGCACAGCAGATAGAACTATGAAAATAAAAATAGTGGGTGTGATGCATAATTGGTCTATCCGAAAGGGTCACGACTTACTTCTCAAATGCTACAAAATGTATGACTACTGTTGTTAAAAAACTTATTTCAGAGAAATGAATCTTAGAAGAATCAAATCTAAAAAGCCATCGCTAGGAAAACATGTACCCAATAGAATTTTAATTTTTTACGAATGTGAAGAAAACAGTCAAGTAATGCCTGGGAAAAAAATCTGCGTATCCGTACAAATTGACGGAAAAAGAACACAAATGCAAAAACGGTCCATTCTAATCAATTTGAAGGAGTTGCATACTCTTTTCAAACTCAACCATCCAGACCTGTAATGTAGTTTTTCAAAATTTCCATCTTTACGACCACAACATAGCGTTCTTGCAGGAGCAAGTGGCACACATTCAGTTTGTGTGTGCTCCATACACGAAAACGTACGATTAATGGTATATGGAGTGAATATAAAAGCACTGACTGCATGTAGTAGAAAGCCGATAAATAACTATAAAGATTGCCTACAGCGCATGATTTGCTATACTTCACACACAGAATGTTTTCTAGGAACCTGCGCCAAATGTCCTGGAACTGAAAATATCAATGAACAACTTCTGGAGATATTTGATGACAACATGATTGACACCGTTACATACAAACAAAGGGTTCGTGAAGAGAGAAGCACTTTAAAAACGTTGACATCCCAAATAGACCAATATTTGCAATCCTTAACAGATGGTTTGATAAGAAAAACAACTTAGCAAAAACTGAATGCATAGTTTTGCGTGATTTTTCCGAAAATTATGCTTTTGTTGTTCAAAACTCTGCTCAAGGTATTCACTGGAATAATAATCAAGCAACAATTCGTATTTTTGCAATATACCTCCGTCTTGAAAATAAAAAACTACAAATAAAAAATTTTGTTTGCATATCTGACTGTTTACATCACAACACGACTGCTGTACATTTGTTTCAGAAATACGCTATCAAATTCATTAAAAAAATTAGTACGGATATTAAAAAAATTATTTAGTTTTCCGATGGATCGGGTTCACAATATAAAAATAAAAAAAATTTTATTAATTTACCTCTTCACAAAATGGACTTTAGTTTGGAAGCAGAATGGGACTTTTTTCCAACGTCACACGGCAAAGGACCATGCGACGGCTTAGCTGGTACCTTAAAGAGGAATGCTGCAAGAGCTAGCCTTCAACGAATAAATAATCCAATCCAAACACCAAAGAAATTATTTAACTGGACTAAGGAATGTTTACCAAATATTGTGTGCCATTTCTCAACGTTAAAAGACTATGAAGTAGAAGAAAATAAGATTAAACACCGCTTTGAAGCAGCTACATCAGTTAAAGGCACATTAAAATATCACTGCTTTATTCCAAATTCCAAAAAAGTATTATTGGCAAAAATATTTTCTTCTTCAGACATTACAGATTATGTAGTAATAATGAAATGAGAATTAATAAAATCAATGTAAAAACCATAAAAAAAAATATTTTGTTTTTAGCTCCTTACAGTTTTTTTCGTATAACATTTCTTACCTGTTCAGAGTATTTTTCCAACAGTAGCAAAATAACACTTCACCGAAAAAAGTAGGTGTTTTCTAGGTAGATCGGCTAGTATGAAACTAATTAACTTTTTAATTCATCTATATAAGAAAAAAATGTAGTACGCATGTGCTTGATGTGTTTTGCGGGAGAAAAAAAAATATTAAAAAATTTTAAAAATTGGTATCTTGAAAATTTTTATTTCGTAGTAAAATTTAAAACTGAATCTAAATAATATATAAAAAATGAAATCTCTGGGGATATATTTTGAGAAAAATTTTTTTTTGAAATTTAATAGTTAATATTAGTACTTAAATATAAACAATTTTAATTGTTTAAACAATTTTATAAAAGTTCAATCAATTATGTTTGAAACGCTGTAAATTTCAAGTTTCTACCTTTTATAGAACTTGAGATATAGCCATTTGAAAATGTGTCTACTATGCCAATTCTCAAAACCCCATGGGTCCATATCTCCTAGGAAAAAAATCACAAAATTTTTTCCCGAGATATGGGTCTTCTTAGTTTATGAAAGGAGCTCATAATTTCAGCCAAATCGGATTTCATGAGGTCAAAAAGGTGTCCGTGTTGTAAAAGAGTGACCCATATGCAAAAACACGCTTCCATTTTTCAAAATAAATAGGGGTATTCACTTTCTCTTGTAAACTCATTGCAAGGAGCACGAAATGCAAGAATGCTATACAAAAACTGCAAGACTGCGAGTACACCTCTGTTGCAGAATTGCATCATTAAAATGAATCAGCTGTTTTTGCAGCCGTATCACATTGAGCAAAGAAAAATAAAAGTATAACAATGCCGCGAACAAGTGAAACACAAAAATGTATAGATTTTTTTATTGAAAATAGTGCTTTTAATATCGGCAATCAATAATTTACGAATACAAATATATAAAACAAACATATATGTATATATATTTAATATATAATTAAGAAGTCAATTGCGACATTGCTTTTTTTCAGTAGGTTTATTTCAAGACAAGAATGTATAAAAACGTATATATATATATATTAATATATGTAATAATAACATTTTGTTTTAAATTAGTATTTATTGTATTGTTACTTAGTAGTGATTACAATAACTAATAATAATACATTTACAGAAGAATTTTTGTTTTCATTAAACGATTTATGGGCCAATCAAGTCATTATATACTGGTATTAGAGATATTCAGATGTTGTGCGGTAACACGGTACTGGGTAAAGTGATTAAAAGATAAACATCTGAACACCACTTTTTTTGTAAAATTAGCTGTCGATTTTGTTTCTTTTTCTTACTGAAATATTTTTTTATTATTACATTTAAACAAAGTGTAAAGTTCAAATTAACAACAACTAGTCATAGTGACTTCAAGAATTTTTTTAATTTAATATTACAATTAATGTAGTAATGTTACTCATCTGAAGTGGGCATATAGATCTGAGCTAGTCATCCCCTTGCTGGTTGACCTCAAAAGGTCATTTGGTTTAAAACGACTTAAGCATCTATGCGCAGGATCGTAAAATAACGCCAAAATAGTGCGGTTAAAATGTTGACTCATAATGTGTATTAGCAACCTTTTGTATTTCTTGTTTGATAGTATGTATTTTAAGGTCGCGATGTAGATCAGCATTTCGCACATACCATGGAGTGTTAACTGCATTAGGGATGCATTATTGATTTTTTGCACAACTCCGAATTCGGACGCCATAGAGAAATATAGGCTTGAAGACTTGTTTGTATATCATAAGTTAATTTCACTGAGATACTTTAATTCTTCTTCCAATAAGCTAAGCTATTTTTTTGGATCTAATATTTAGCTAAGCTTCATCTTATCTCATCTCATCTTCCATATCAGTTTGCCATTTAGTTTCATACCCAAATATTTCGCAGAATTAGCAACTGAATTTTTTTTTTTACATTATTTCATTAGAAATAATGATATTTAAGTTTCTCTTTTGTCAGTAAATCCTACGTGGTTAGATTTTGAACTATTTACTGTCAGTTTCCATTTATTAGTCTATTGTTCAATTTCTTGAAGAGCGGCTTGTAGCTTGTTGTTTGGACCTGCAGTTATTATGACCATGTCATCTATAAAATACACCTTGACTTCACTGGCAAATCATATGTGCACAGCAGGTACAACAATGGGGCTAGTATACATTCCTGAGGTTTAGTTCAACTACCTAAGCCAATATACGAACCCATTAGTTTACAATATTGCTGTGGCAGAATAGTGTTTATCTTATAAATGAACAAAATTTCTTGTTTTCTAAAGCCTTTTCGATTTCGTGCATAATTCGGTGGTCTTGCACGATCTTTGAGTGTTTGTTTTGAAATCCAAACTAATGATTTGGGATGGAATTCCTTTGCAAACTATTTTTTCAAGTCTTTTACAAACAAGTTTTTCAAATAATTTTTCTATGGCTGACAGAAGCGAGATTGATCTATACGAGGCTGGAGAATGGTGACAACTTTCCAATAATTTGGGACATGATTTAGTTTTATTCCTGCATTAAATAATTGTGCAAGCTTTGCCTCTCCTTTTGGAGGTAGCTTTTCAACACATCACTAGTTATGAGGTTATGTTCTGATGATTTTTTTAACTTTAGTTTTTTTATTTCTGCAGTTACTTCTTTGTATTTTATCAGCAAAATAACTTCATCTAGATTGTTATTTAGCTTTATGCGCTAAGTTTTTGAATCAAGCTCGTAAAGCTCTGCGTATCGCTCTTTAGGTTATCAATGTTTCATGTTTTGCATGATAAGTCAATATTTTCATTTATCTGAGCCTTAAAATAACGGTCCGTTGTCTCGGTTCGTTAATGTTATATCTATATGTAAATAATATTGGTAAATGGTCAAAATTGTCGAATCCAGCTTTAACTTCAATGTGTATTTTTTAAATTTTTCTTACAATGAAAAAATCAATGTCATCTAGTAATTTGTTTGTATCAGTTGACCAGTTCGTTGAAAAGCCAGTGGAGGCTAAACCAAAACCTGCGGCCTGAGGTGTTTCAAACAATTCCTTTCCTTTTGTGGTATTTAGTCTGAACATTGAACATTTTTTGCATTGAAATCAAAATCAATTATAGATTCATGTTTGTGTGAATTCAGTATATTTATGTATTATTCACATTTTATATTATGTGTCGGTGAACTATAAATGGACGTTATGAGGAGTTTGAAAACACTCTAAGTAACTGCAACGGTTGTTGTCTGGAACTCTTCAGAAGAGAGTTTATTTTCTTGATAATGCTCAATGTTGGATTTAATTATAACAACACTTCCGCCTCTGGCATTATTGCTTGGATGAGTAATATGATAGATACTATAGTTCTTAAATTTGATGTACGATTCTCTTGTAAAATGTGGCATATGTCTATATTTTCTGTCTGTAAAAGGAATTCTAATTTGTTTTTGTGTTAAAGTAAACCATTTGCGTTCCATTCCATTATTTTAAGAGTATTCATTCAGATGCACAGTAACATTTCTGTTCGAAGTTGTCTAGGCGACTTTCTATTGCCACTAGTTTTTCAAAAATAACTAAAAGGACATTTTGTGATTAGGAATGCAGTTTACACTCCGTCGTATGTGCGAAATGCTGATCTACATCGCGACCTTAAAATACATACTGTCAAACAAGAAATACAGAAGGTTGCCAATAAACAGTATGAGTCAACACTTTAAAAGCACTACTCTGGCGTTATTTTACGATGTTGCACACAGACGCTTAAGTCGCTTCAAACCAAAGGACTTTTCGAGGCGTTTCAACCAGGAATTTTTTCTGTAAATGTATTATTATTAGTAATTGTCATCACTACTAAGTAACGATACAATAAATATTAATTTAAAACAAAATTTGCGCTGCTCATTCCCCTATACACTGAAAGTAATAAATTATTAATATGCATTTTATAATAGGTTGCAATAAAAATTATTGACAAGACGCAATTAGATAAATCAAACTTACAGAAGGTTTATCGAGAAGTTGAAATAATGAAACGTTTGAATCATCCCCACATAATAAAGTTATACCAGGTATTATTAGTGTTGTATACTTTCAAAATGGAGTGTATATATATGTATATATTTAAATATTTTCAGGTTATGGAAACAAAAGAAATGATATACATTGTTTCGGAATACGCAAGTCAAGGCGAAATATTCGGTAACTATAATATTTTATAACATTTTTTTAAGTATGAATAAAGCAAACCCAAAAACTAAAAATATTTGTATCATCAACTTTTATGGATCTTAAAATTTCTGTGACTATATTTCTTGGAGAATTTTATTGCATTTTGAGTTTTGCTACATTACTTCTTGCTTTTACCCAGTTCAAAAGTTTTTATGCAGACAAATTACAAAATGTAAACTAAACTCAGCTCAATCTATAAGTTTGGCTTTAAGCAATGCCTAAAATAGTAAGACGTAGGAAATAATCAAATATGGTTATTTTTAAATTGCAGTGATTTTCAACTTTTTTGTCGATAAATTTTTTTGAACTTTCCGGGCATATCTGTGTTTTTTTCATTGTCATTTGTCGACCCAAAAAAACAGTTTAAACATTAAAAAATATAAAGAAAATTATTTTTGTATCATTTTTTGTGGAAAATTGATTTAATTGTAATATGGTGCACGTGAGTGACGTGTGAGGCCCTGATACTCGTAAATTAATTTTTTGAAATACTTCTCAAAACAATGCCACACTGGAAATATTTATTTTTTAAGCAAAAATGATTGATTAATTTGAATCAAAAATGAATAATAAAAATTTTTCCAATATGTACTTCCTTTTTTTTACTGAAAAATTGCGCGTATATGTTTGGTGTGTGGTGAAGGATAAATTAATTTTTAAAAAACACTTGTGAGGACAATACAGACCTGAAATTTTTGTGTTTTATGTAGAATTTTATTACAAATCGAAATCAAAAATTAATGTACAATAATTTTTATAGTATGTTCTTTGAGAATTCATTTTTCGGAAATATAGTACGCATATGCTTATTGCGTTTTGCGAGAGAAAAAAAATTTCAAAAATTTCAAAAAGTAATAGCATCCTGAAAATGTTTATTTCCTAGTAAAATTTAATTCAAATATAAATAAAATATGAAAAATGAAAGTTCTTGGGATAGTTTTGGAAAAATGCATTTTTAAATTAAATACTTAGATGAGATGATATACAGTACTTATAAACAACCTTAATTGTTTAAACTATTTCTTAAAAGTTCAATTAATTCTTATGAAAACGCAATAAATTTCAAGTTTTTATCATTTATGGAGTTTGAGATATGGCCGTTTAAAAATGTATCTACAATACGAATTGTTAAAACCACATAGGTCCATATCTCCTAAGAAAAAAATTTCATAATTTTTTCCCGAGATACGAGTCTTCTTATTTTTTGAAAGGAGCTCATAAAATATTAATAATTTCAGACAAATCGGAGGTGATGAGGTAATTTTTTGTCAAAATCCGTCCGATTCGTAAAAGAATTACCATAACCGTTTTATTTAGGCAGTCAGCGTGGTGTGAATCAGTGTAATGGAATTCTGAGTGCATTTGCTTGGCGCCACCTATAAGTCATCCTTGGTTATTTTCAGCCAATTAGTATATGTTCAACTTTTAAATATAGCTAGCTCTTTTTAGTTTCGAATATCGGTAATAACTTGTAATTTATGATAATTTATGTTTATAGATCTCTCTTGGCACTACTTTGCTGTTTTCTCAGTGTTGTATTTCGGAAGCTTACGTTTCCGTAGTTCTACCATGTACCAAATCTTTCTTGTGTGTTATTAGTGATATTTCGTCATCAGCATTTGCAGCATTGCGAACAGAAATCCACAGTTGAGGAATATATTTTACTAAAATTTTGGAGTTCTATATCAAAGTTTCTATTCGGTCAAACACTTTATTAGTGGCAAAAAAGTTTCATTCAAATTTACAATACATAGTTGTTGTATTTATTGTTGCAACATATTTCTACAAATGCATAAACAACGTGCGAATCATCTTCATGAAATCAGGTATCTTCTTGTCTTCATCCTCATTTAATTAACTTATATATGAATCTGCATGCTTTTTCTTGCTTGTGCTGAAAAAACCGAGTAAAATTTATAAAATTAACCAAATAGTCTCCATGTCATTGAAGGCATTGTTGTCTTTTATATTCATTACGTATTGTCTTTAAAAATTATAACTACTATATTATAATACGTTATCACTAAATCATATTCGATATGAAGCTTGATCTTAGTCAGAGTATGATCGACTTCGGTTGCTGCTTGAATATCTATAAAACTGTTTGGGAGCTTATAAGCTTTTCTTATGTTTAAAAAATCGGTTCACAGATCATCTTCGTTTCTCATTTAAAAAGATATTTTGATGGAGTCTTCATTAGGTTTTGATTGGTTTTTGGCTAGCCACAATATGTCCTCAACATATATAAAGTGCTAGGGATGTCGTTATTGTAGTTTGAGATAAATTGAAACGAGTTATGATCAATGTAATATAATGCTCATTCGGTAGTCAGATCGAGAGTGAGTTTATTAATCAATTCATTTATATACATTTTCTTTTATTTTACATACATAGCAAGATAATGTTAAATAATACAATAACATATGTTGCTAGATTGGCCTTGCATTACAATACCTAACACGATCCTCCTACAGCTGATTTATACATAATTATAGAAACATAAAAAACATAAATATATATATATATGGTACATAAATGTATGGTATATGCGTACATTTTTTACACTAGTTCATTTTCAAATCAAATGCAATTAAAATTCACGTTTTTCTTTAAATGAACATATTTTTAAAAATATTTCACTCAAATGATTATGTAGAAATATTATAGATGGCTTCATTCTTTTCACCAAATTAAGGTACTAATACATCTTTGTAGCCAGAGATTTTAGTGGTAAGTTCACGCTTCCAAATAACGCACTCGAAAGAAAACCACAATGATAATTTTGATACCTTACATTTTTAATTTATTTATATTTCAATTTTATAAAATCTTATTAATATATTTTATTAGTTTTATTTAAATAAATTTTTTTATATCGATTTTTATAGTTCATTTTAAATATTATAGTTTTCATTTCAAAATCTTCTTTAATTCACAATTTCATTTGTGAAATTACCCCGACATCAAAGTAAAAATCAAGCTCTTTACTATATTAAGTTGAAGCTTTAATTTTTGTATGGAAAATAACTTTAAGTTCTGCTTTTACAGAACTGGTATTTACATAGCGTCATCTCTCAAGCTCTTTGCATGGAATTGTGCTATGATCAGCAAAAATAGTACAGTTCATCTTTAGACTGTATGTGTGTCATGAATTCTTAAGAAGATGATCACGCGATGTATAGATGCGAGTATCTTCTTAAGTATTTACAGTAACATTTATTGTTACTGTTTGAGCCAATTTGATTTCATCATATTTGGTTGTTCGGCACAGTGGGGCAATTTGGTAGAGGAATATTAGCATCAATGCTAATATGTAACTATATACATAAGTTATGTTGTGATTTCATTACCTTACCATCCACTCTTGGCCTAAGTTCCCTTTCTCTTAAAAGTAATTTTTGACTGCAAACTGCATGTTCCGATGGTCCAAACGAATCAGACATGGACACACATCCATCCTCATTCGATGATGTTTGTTGCTCATCAGCTCTCTGCACGTTCACACCAGCATTTCATTGGGAAGATTCGACACTTCTGATTTGATTAGTGTGTCTTTTAATTATTATATTATAATCACATTGTTTCGAGTTATTATATAATAATTATTATATTAGCAGCAGCATTTTCTCAAAGATTTTGGAGCAAAAGACTTATTGGTCTAGTATATGATGAGGCCAAAGTTAGATCCTTTCCTGGTTTTGGAATCATTTTTATTTCTGAAACTTTCTATTGCTTCGGGTAGTAGCCAAAAGCTAGAATGCTGTTAAATATCACTGTTAGAAAGCATATTGCTGAATCAGGCAATTTTTGTATCATTTTTTCCGTAATTTTATCGTATCCAGGTGCCTTTTTTGGATTTGCAAATGTTTGTATAGTTTTCTTGACATCATCCAAACGCAACGTAAGGGGACACTGAACAATAGAAGGAGATTCAATATTAGGTTGAAAATCTGTTATTTGTATACAATTAATGACTGTGAAATCGACTAAGTCCGGTATTTTTCGATTGTCTGATGGCCAATATGTTGGGTGAACCAAAAAAACAACATCAAGGCTGCTGACAAGTGTGCATATAGTTGCGACCTCTTGTCTTTAACATCTTTATTATTTACTTTTTGAAAATGATTTTCACTTGTGTGAACACAAGTGTGTTCTTTAAATCTGGAGACGATAGTCTTATTTATTCAGTAAATTATTTTGGTATTTATACCATTTAAAACTTATGTACTAACATTGTTTCATATTTCTTATCCAATCAATACAAGGGATACTCCCTCAACATTAATAGTATCTATATACATAAAAGAAAGTCGTGTTAGTTAGACCTTTTATAACTCAAAAACGGATGGACCGATTTTAAATATTTTTGATTTGTTGGATTCGTCTCCGCTTCGAATAGCAGAATATATTATAAAATATTAGAAAAATCTACTACTTTTAATATAAATAATAAATTTATAAATTCTGTTTTAAACTGTTGACAGTTTGAGTGATACTAATTTTCTTTTTGTATTTATGTGTGTCATCAATATTTCAAATATTTCAAATATAATAAATAAATACTGTCATCAATATTTGAGCTGTAAGTAAAATATCCGCTCTGAATAGCAGAATATATTATAAAATATTAGAAAAATCCACTACTTTTAACATAAATAATAAATTTATAAATTCTGTTTGAAACTGTTTACAGTTTGACAGTTTAAGTGATACTGATTTTCTTTTTGTCTTTTTGTGTGTCATCAATATTTCAAATATTTCAAATTTCAAACATAATAAATATCAAATATAATAAATTAATACTGTCATCAATATATGAAGATTTCTCCAAGCAATTGCTAAAAATCGGTTATGGCCGTGTGCATGTTAAAGAATCGAGAGGATTAATTGCATTTTCTTCAAGTTTTTGCAATTTCGTCTCATCAAACTCATCGAACTCATCAATGAAGTATTTCTGAACATCATTGATA